GGGGGGGGGGGGGGGGGGGGGAGCAGGGCTTCTCTCGGGCCCTGCTGTGCCCGCTTCCTTCCAGCCCCCAGAGAAGATGCTTCCCCGATCGCTCACGTCCATAGAGGGGGCAGGTTGCTAAAAGCCTGTCTCTCTGTCCTGAACACCTTTGCTCTCAAAGCAAAAACATAACGTGTTGGCTTCCAGGATAACTGAGCCAGTTCCTTACTCCAGGGTATAGATGACAGCTTAGATGGTGCCTCTTTAGGGAAATTCATGGGGCCTCCTATCCTATGAAGGAAAGAGGCTGCCCAGCCAAGGTCTCTGGGTTGACGTCAATGGCTGCTCTGGACCTTTGGAAACATCCTTACTAAACTGGTAAGGATGAAGTGGACACCCTTAGCTTCTTTGCGTCCCAGAATGTGTCATGCTTTCCTTACAAAGGTGACCTTGTTCTATCCCTTGAGTCTCTAGTATCTACAAAGGTCCAAGGGGTTTCTTCCTTGTCTCTTGCCAGTGGTTCCTTGATGTGAGACAGAAGCGGGGCCTCTGGTCTGCTGCATCCAGTGTTGGGAGGATGCTGAGGAGGTGGGGAGGGACTACAGAGCTGCATCCCGGAGGCTTCTCTGTCCTAAAATCATCTATGTCTTGATCTGTGAGGATCGCTCTTGTCTGACCACCCTCCCCTTTCAAATAACCCAGAACCCAGTCTGCATGACGGTTTAATGTTTCCATTTATTCGCACAGCATTGCACTCATTCCTATGGGTGAATAAACCTGTTATACCAAGATGCTCCTTCCCTCCCTCCCCCTCTGGGCTGGCTTGTGCCCAACTCTCCTCCTCCAGCAAATACTGAGAGTGTGATGATCTAGTCACACCTGACGTGAGCCCTCAGTTTCTCCACTGGGATAGGGGTGTCAACCTCATCTACTTAATTCTGCTTAGAGCACTCTAAGAGAAACTTCTAGCTGTGTAAGAAAGCTAAAACCACCTGCTAATGCAGTCTGGATATTGCAAGATCTAGCTCCTCTAGTCCTGAGTGTTCAAACAGACTTGGAAGATGAACTTCCTTTGAAATAAAAAATCATTTAAGATGTTTTGAAGTACACCATGAATACCTCTTTGCAAGTCTTATCTTGGGTGCACCAAATGTTTGCCCTCATTCTTGAAGTGGCCACTGGTGGTAGATTTCTGGCCCTTCCTGTTAATTTTTGTTCTGCTCTATTTAAGCTTAAAATTTTCCTTGTCACCATCCAGCCATATCCTGGCACTGGCAGGCCTCCCTTCGCTTTGCTGTCTCTTAGCCACCTACTCTGAGTTTTGGTGAATTGTTATTTGCCAATTAAACTGTCTTCCCTGTCTTATAACCAGAATCTCTTAAGGGTAAAAGGTGAATGTCTCTAGAAAAATTTCATTAATATCTGGATCAAATGGCAAAATGGTTTTGAGAAATACAAGCCACTAGATACCTAACTCAATTTATTAACATTGGAGTTCAGGGAAATGTAATCAAAATGTAAATTCTGTGGTGTAGAAGGCACTCTGCCTGCTGAAATGAGCTCATTTTCCTGTGATGATAAATATGTGGTATTTCTATGTTTTCTCTCACCCTTTTAAAAAATGCTAAAATAAGCATTAGAAGTGATTTGAGCTATTTTTTTTGCCTTCAGGATTCATAAAGGCCAACAGTCCACATTCTCTGGCTCTCAACTGTCCATTTGAATACCAGGCAAATATCCACAAGCTTGATAGCAATGGAGATGCAGGACTCACGAGGACGTGAATGATGGGAAACTTTCTCCCTGTTTCCCCCATCATCAGCTGGCAGGACCTCCCCCTCACACCTCCTCTTTGGCCCAAGCCATGGCCCAGCTGTTCTCATATGGTGTTTATGATCCAGGATGCACTTGAGCTGGATTTCAAACAAGTGTGCAGGCTGAATGCAGAGGTGGGGCCATCAGAGGGAGACTCTGCCAGACCACTGCCTCCTTGGGGGCTCACCTGGATAGGGCCTCGAGGTGGTACTGTGAAGGCTGCGCTCTGAGGGAAGGGCTTCTCGGTGATCCTGGATCATCAGTGAGGACTTATCGTGTGTACCTTAAGAGCATATTCTTGAAGAGGTAATTTTAATCCAAGAGAGTATTGTCTAAGTCAGAGCAAGGGAACAGTGAGAGGAGCGAGAGAGCAGTTAGCTTACTAAAGAGCATTTCTGCATCTCCTGTTGTTCAAACCTGCAAACACAGGGAATATACTCAGCTATCTCCAGGCAAACCCTAAAAGTTTCCTGGACGCAATCGATGGCACATAGATTTTTTTTTCTGAACACTTATATCTTCCCAAAGTCAGGAAACTTTTCTGAATTGGATATGGTGCACATCCATGCATTCATTGACTTAACAGTTACTTACTAACCAACACCTAGTTTTGCCTTCTATTGGTTGTTATTTAACCCCGGGATTAAACCTGAATCTCTTATGACTCCTGCATTGGCAGGTGGGTTCTCTACCACTAGCACCACCTGGGAAGCTCTTATTTAACCTCACTTTGCCTCAATAGTCTCATGGGTGATGTGAGGATATTAATATGATGTACCTCACAGAGCTATTGGGAGATCTAAAGGGTGTAACCCACTTATAGTTACAGTGATTCACAGTGAGCACCCAATAAATGTGAGCATTTACTGGTATCATCTCTTTACATTTTTATTTTTATTATTGCTAAAATTATTTTAATAACATATATATGTAGCATTATATCTTCTTTTCTCATTGATCTATTTTAAACTTGATGCATTAAAAATATTTTTCTAGGGATTTCCCTGGCGGTCTGGTGGTTAAGACCCTGCATGTCAAATGCAGTGGGTGCCAAGTTCGATCCCTGTTTGGGGAACTAAGATCCCATATACTGATAGCCTGGCCAAAAAAAGATTTTTTTTTTTAAATTGAGTATTCATTCTATCTGGCAAAGTAGGCCATGGCACAAGGGGTACAACAGAGGGCAAAACACAGACCCATGTCTGCCCTTGGCTGGTGCCCTTTCTAGTGGGATGTGCAATGAACAGGTAAAGCCATAAAACACATAATGAATACATGTAGATTTAGGGCAGTGAGTTTTTGTAATAGAAAAGCCTGGAGCACCTACTTGGGGGTGTTCTTGGACACTCAGTCTTAGAGGGTGATGGTGCATCCAGATCATGGGGAACAGGACCTTCAACTCAAAAGTCACCTTCCCTGGGGACCCTCCCTCTCTCTCCTAGGGAGATAGCCTCTCTCTTCTCTGGCTTCTGCAGTGTGAATACGCCCTGCACTTAACCTTTGCTCACCTCTCTCACAGGGCCTGACCTGCCCGAGGGTACCTCTGCATCCTCAGCCCCTGAGGCTTAGTCAATACTCTGGAATGAATTACGTAGGACGTTTAACCCTGCATTTTCTAGGGCAAAGCACCCAGAGAGATTCCACCTGGGGGCATAATACAGGCAGAGAGGATGCTGTCATCTCTGCTTTGCTATTGATTCAGTTCAGTTCAGTTTAGTCGCTCAGTAATGTCTGACTCTTTGCGACCCCAGGAATTGCAGCATGCCAGGCCTCCCTGTCCAACACCAACTCCCGGAGTTTACTCAAACTCATGTCTATCGAGTCGGTGATGCCATCCAGCCATCACATCTTCCGTCATCCCCTTCTCCTGCCCTCAATCTTTCCCAGCATCAGGGTCTTTTCCAATGAGTCAACTCTTCGCATCAGGTGGTCAAAGTACTGGAGTTTCCACTTCAGCCATCAGTCCTTCCAATGAACACCCAGGACCGATCTCCTTTAGGATGGACTGGTTGGATCTCCCTGAAGTCCAAGGAACTCTCAACGTCTTCTCCAACACCACAGTTCAGAAGCATCAATTCTTCGGTGCTCAGGTTTCTTTATAGTCCAACTCTCACATCCATACATGACCACTGGAAAAACCATAGCCTTGACTAGACGGACCTTTGTTGGCAAAGTAATGTCTCTGCTTTTTAATATGCT